ACAACACTGCGCTTAGTTGACCAAAACAAAAGTTTACTACAATAGCAACACAAATGTGAAATAACTGGCATAGCTCTTGTTTGTTTAACTGACTTACTTGATATAAAGTTCTATGTCCCCGTAGTGGGGCAGAGGGCGTCCTCAGTGCGCCGCTAGTTCGCTATCTTGGGCTCTTCGTTTGGTCTCGGGCCATGTCAGCTCGATTGTCTTCATGACGACAGCGGCAGTTTGTTAATTTAAGATAGTAGAAAAATAAAAACGAGTACTTTATACTTATTTATTACGTCGAGGGATCCAATAAAAAATATTACTTTTAAAATTAATTTTGGTATTTGGGTACATATTTTAAATACATAGTAGTTTTTAATACAACTTCTATGTATATTTTATATGTATTATCAGTTAAAAACAGGCGAGTGGTTCGTCGGGACGCTGAAATAATTCTCATTTACATTTAGCGTCGGATTAACAACGGGAGCACTGAAGATATTCGAGAACGGTAATGTTTTCACAATGCATATCTCAGCGGATTTGATAGAACGGAATTAATCTCTTACAAAACTTTTCTACTCGGGAAAAAGATAAGGTTTGTATATAAATCTCTGTGTATGTATTCTGTATAATCTGTATTATTGTTTCGTACGAAACTGACAGTTCTGCGTTAAGCTAATCTATAATAATATTGTAAAGAAAAAAAAATGATTTTTGTTTATGTTTGCATTGAATAGGCTCCAAAAGAACTGAACCAATTTGAAAAATTTCTTCACTGTTGGGAAGCTACACTATTCCTGGGTGACATAGGATATATTAATTTCTATTTTTTTTTTAATTTCACGCTTAAAGCCGCGGACAACTGCCAGTAAAAATACATTGCGATGTAAAGGACACACCTATTCATTTTCCAAATCTACTCCTTGTTAACTGAGCGCCGTAATACCTTTGGTACATAGGTTATACGGCTTAGATATGTTTAATAATCTAATAGTAAACACAGGTTATACATCACCCCAGAGAGCGATACAATATAAAGCTTAATGCTGATATCAACAGATGCAATTAACGACTTACATTAATGTAATTTACCTTACTGAGATAGTATATTAACGTATTGACTAAATAATATATATCCTAATTATACAATCAAAAAGGTATACATGGAATAAGGACTTCTAGAACACTTAAGTAAAAAAAATACTTTAAATAAAATTAATCTTATATGTAAATTATCGTGTCACAATGTTAGTTACCTTACTACTCCGAATCGGCTTGACCGATTTATATGAAATTTTGTATGCCTATTCAATAGGTGTAGGAATCGGCTACTATATATTTTTTTAATATCGCGCGGACGTAGTCGCGGTTGACAGCTAGTGTCTTTCTACATTTATTTGTAGACGCAAAAGGAATGCATTGTTAGTGATTCACTTGGATATTACAAAGTTTATTAAAACACCGTTATGTTTAAAACGATTGCTTAGTATAAATCACCATACGTTTTAACGTAAACATTAAACTCTAAGGTTCTTAGTTGTATCAAAAGTTACACCGTACTCGAGCGCTATGGGATCATTTATTTTGCCAAGCAATATACTTAGGCCGCTTTACACCTGAGCCTTTCAAATGCGATTTACATTAGATATTTTGATGAAGACATTAGGGAGTTTGAGCGGACACAATTTCTACAAAAACAACAATGAACAATTTCAATAAACATTTCGAAATGTTTATTAAAGCCTGCATTGTTACGAGAAAGAACGCGAGAAAGTCATGAGATTGTTGTACCACACACTAGTCTTTGATGAGAGAAGACTCTTGGTGTGATCTGTAGGTACTCTATTTTTCTTTTATGAGTATAATAACAATCTAACTATGTTCTTCGTGTTGGAAAGCCTGTGGCCCATACTATGACTGTTAATAAGAGCGAATAGCCCGTGGTATTTTGCTAACTTTTTTATAATGAATAAACCAGCGCTTGACTACAATCCCAACTAATGTTAAGTCTTCATTGCTCTTGCTCCATCATTTTATTACCCCGACATTGTGGGATAGTAGTTCTATTTACTTAACCGTTGGATTCTGATACCAAAGCTGTATTAAATATATTATCATCCCTGTCATTATCTTTGACAAAACAGAGATGACAATATGTTTTAAACATAGATTCTGGTCTCAGAAACCCACGGTTAGTATTTCGTAACAGAAGAGGATAATACTATGCTTAAATTGTATATAAATTAATTTTATCTGTAGGTGTGTAATTTTAAGCGTCATATAACGCTAGCCAAAAACGATTATTTAATAGCTTATGTTATCACGAGCAAGCCGTTAACGCAGCTACCATAATATACCTATAATACTCTGGCTGGAAATATTCAGCTTTAATCCAAACACTAGGAATTTCATAGTTGTTTAATAATTAAATATAAACGAATCAATTTGCCTTATAACTAATGGAAGAAGAATCACAACTTATTAATACAAATAAAAAAAATATATGTTAAACTTTATTGTGATTTCTAATTTTTTTAATCTGTTAAAAATCTGAGAAATACTATACAATACAAAAATTATGGTATGGTAAATAAAATTGATAGTCATAAAGTGAATTTAAACGGAAATCTAAGAGCTTTTGCGTGTTTGTCGCATATCGAAGTCAATCGTAGAAATAGCTAAAATAAGCAAGTTTTTGAGCTAAATTTTCTTTTTAATACGGTTTCTTACCCAAGAATAATTTAGTAAATAGAAATATCATGAGGATATTTAGCAAATCTCTAAGCTTTTGAGTTCCCACATTGATTTGCAACTTTTTTAACTAGATTTCAAAACCCTACAATATTACATATAACAACGTAAACAGAAATGTTATTACTTCGTTATTATTACGAATACGCACGAATATAACGAATAATACAAAAACTTTAGGCGATACCTTCATCAAGGGCAATGTCAATCCTAACCGACACGTCGACGCGCAACCCTATTAAGGCAAAAGGCAAAAGTTGTTCAATGAGCTGTTTGATGGAGGCACCTAAATATTTGTCAGAAGGAAGTTAGACCAGTACACCGTGAATACGAAAATATCCTTTCTTTTTTAATGCTAACCTATATATTTCTTGTAAACGGCAAAATTTTACTTAACAAATGCTAGATTATTCACAATTTTTCTTTAATTTTCCTTCTTTTTAAAGTTCCTCTACTACTAAAAAAGGTTGGCGATCAGACCTCCATATTATGTTATGTCTCTTTACGGAGGCCACTACAAAAAAAGTCCACCTTAAACATTAAAAAATTAAATTTAAGTAACATGAAAAATGTAGAGTATAATCTTCCAAATAAAACACTCGGTTACTCGGCAATTAAGTAAATAATGTAAGGGTTTTATGAGCAACGCAGAGAAACGTAAGTTACTTTAACTCAAAATTCATAATTTTACCCTAATAAACTTGGATAGGAACAATTAGGTGTATATAGTGTAGAACGCTCGCTTATTTTATTTCAGCTTTGGACTTTTAAGCAAGCTCTTAAAAGCGTAACTTCGTAGCGACTCCTGAAAAATTAATATTTAAGAATTTGAAAATGCAATATTTTAAATGTTTTAAAAGTGAAAATGAAATAAACGTATTAAACTTTTGATTAACATATAAATAAGACATTGCTTTTTCGAAATGAATTACACAAAAGATCCAAAATACTACAAAGTTTTTTTAGTGTAAAAATGTATGAATACACGTATGTCCAATCTATTGCAAACTTCTGACAAATCAAATTAATATTTTGCTGATTAAATTGCCAAGTAAATATAAAACTTGGCAATTTAATAACTTCTTATAAAAATAAAAATAAAAACTTAAAAACGATTTAAGAACCTTCTTTTGGAAGTCGACTAAAAATACTTAACAATTTAATAATAATTTAACTAACAATAAATAATAAAAAAAATTGAGATAATCATTTTTTAATATTTGTACTTTAATAAGTACCTGAAAATGTAAGCGGAAGGTTTCTTCTGAATTTATAACCGCTCTGGTGGTCGTGTAAGCTCATTACGCGAACGTTTCCAAGCTTATCTCTTAAATACTACATTAGAGGACTCCACCACTGTTTAAACATAATTTAACAAGCTTCAATGACTGCTTAACATTGTTTATTTCTTTTTAATGAATGTTTTATTTATTTGCTTATATTGTTAGGAACAAACTTCTTTTTTATTTATTCAGTGAATATTCTCCAAACTTCTCTAGAGCTCATGAAATGTCGGAAGCTATAGTTTTTGCACCCCATATTACAATATTTGTTAGGTTTAAATTGAGGCGCTAAGACTGAACCAGTCTTACCCCTTACGTGCCCTTTTTCTACCTGTTCCACTGTGACCTCTAGTGGCCTAAATCGATATTATCGTTTACTTATAAGGGATGGCTTTACCCTTATAAGTCAGGAAGTGGTTATTTTTGTTTTAAATTAGGTAATATTATTTTCAGTGAGAGGAAATATCTACAAATATAAAATGGAGACGATTTTACATCGTATCAAAGTGAAGCTTAAATATTTATAAACATGCATAGCTCCTACATTAGAAACGCCTTTAAACTTATTTACTGAATACCTAACAACTATTTAACGTTACAATTAAACACCCGTTTTAAGGTTTAATGTGAGCTACTATTCAGGCCTGAAGTATGCACAAGAGTAGAATGTCTTAATTGCACATAGCCGGTACTCTGTGCTTCGTATATTGGAATTTCGTATATTTATATGATATGCATCCTAATATTAGCGAGATCCGTTGAGTTGTTGTGGAAATACTTTCTAACAAAACATGCTTCACTCCAAATATTCGCATTAATAAGAATCCGTATATTAGTAAGATTGAAGGCGAAGTAAAACTCGCAGAGGGATTTAAAACTTGATTTCGTTTTGTTATCGATTTTTTTAAGCGATGACAGCGATTTTTTTTATAATCTATATAGAGTGTTTGTCATTATTTATGATGAAATGTCATCAAAAGTGTCAAAAGTGCCAAGAACGTGAAGTTCGAGTAAAGCGAGTGAAACGTCAAATTAGTTTATATTTATAAAAATTTTAATGCTGATTAACCTAAGCAAACACAATCCCCGTAAATTGTTGTTATGTTTTATATTATATTCATGACCAATAGTTAATAGATATATTCAACAATTGAGGCACAATGTGTGACAGCGATGATCAAGGGGATCACGGCCGATCTGGCATGGATTTAACTGGGTTCTTATTCGGAAACATTGATGAAAGAGGTCAACTTGAAGATGAAGGGTTGCTTGATGGAGAGTCCAAGAAAATGCTCTCCTCTCTTACTCGTCTGGGCTTTGGATCTATGTTATCTGAAGTGCTAGACGAGGATGAACCAAATCAAGATGATGAAGAAAAAGGTATTCGCATTAATTACTACTTTTAGGTCATACAAAAATGTATTAATAACATTTTTAATCTTAAAAAACTTTGGAGAGCAGAATAAAAAAAGCGAGTTCTTGAAAATGTTACCATTTTAAGTTTTAAATGCATGAATAAGCGTACATTCAAATACAGGTACAGCAGTGTAACAAAGAGAGGAAAAGAATAATGTCATTTTAACCTAGGGTAGACTAAGATACATTCTAACCAAGATAAGAGAGAATTTGAAAGGCAGGAAACCTCTGGCAACCCAACAGATGACCTCTTATGGTCCCTTGGATTCTCTCTTATCTGGGTTTGAACGTAATTCTTTTATATCTTACTCTAAGTCATAAGTGTCAAAATCTTTACTGACAATGCATATCATAACTTAGTCATGTTACTTACATGTTATTAAGAACAATTGGATATACTTAAGGAAAATATATTTAGTTCATTTATGTCCACAGATTACTCGGAGAAAAGTCCATCAGCAGTGGACTTTTTTGATATTGATGATGTTGCCGAAGAGGTAAAAGTTGAGGTAAGTGATTTTTTTCTTTTAAAGATCTTAAGATTTAAGATTTTAATATCAAATTATTTAGTATGAACATTTTTATGGTGCTATCCAAATTATATGGCAGTTCACAAATTTGTATAAGACTGCACACAATACAATTTTAGGTATAGATTAGAAGTATGCAAAGGCAGAAGTGGGTAGAGGTGTAATTTTAATTATAATTATAATTTTTCCGACAGTTTTATGTTGCACAACCTATTTATGTACTGTTACTGACTTAATCCAGTTTTTTACTGCACCAGTAATGTGGCAATTACCTGTTCTTTTTATCCTTATGTAACTTGTTTTTTTTTCAATATTGCAATTTGTTTTATGATTGTCTAATGGGTTTACTAACAAATTTAATATTGTATTTTAAATCAGCTCATTTTTAATCAGTGTTGGTGCACAAGGTTGTTATGATTTCCATAAGTTGGATAAAGCCAGGAAGATTATGATGATGATTTTAAATCAGCTCTTTAGTACTAAATAGTTGAACAAGTATCTATACATAGAATTATGTAGTTTTTATGTGGTTAAGGGAAATAAGTGTTATTTACTTGTCTACTTTGGTTATCTCACATATATGTATTGTTGCACTTGTAATAACATGTTGTATTAACACTAGGATTTAGATGATAGCACTAAACAAGATGCACAAGACACAAATATACAGGAAAGTAAGAGAAACGAAATCCGAGAATCACCGAGCAAAGACACAATAAGCGATTTTCCACAGAATGAAGGCAATGATAGGCATGAAGATTGGAGTCGATCAGATTACATGAAAAAGGATGATCAAAGGAATAATGATGAGGGTTATGAAGGTGATATGGAAGGAGATGGAGGACTTATGCCACCACCTTCAACTGTTCCGTTAGTGTTTAAATTTAATTTGAATAATATTATCATTTAATCTAATTAAATTCATAATACTTATGTGTTATTTTAGTAAGCAGAAATCTGACAAACCGAAGAAATTGGAAACACCCCTTGCGGCTATGCTTCCTTCTAAGTATGCAAATGTTGATGTCACTGAACTCTTCCCGGATTTTCGTCCAGATAAAGTAAGTATTGTGTGTGAAATTATTAATTTCAGTTTATTGTTGCTACTTATATAAAAAATGTGTATGACTTAACATTTAAAGGCATATAGAAATAATTTGTAGAAAGATTACAAAAATGATTGTTATTTTTTTTTAACTCAGGTGCTGTTGTTTTCGCGGTTATTTGGTCCTGGTAAATTGTCAAGTCTGCCACAAATATGGCGTGGAGTGAAGAAGAGAAGAAGAAGAAAGCGCAGTGGAAGTACCGGGAGTGACACTGCACCACAGATGCCGGAGTATCAAGAGTCGCAGTATGCAAGTGACGATGAAGATAAATTTCTAAAGTAAGGCTGGTACTATGCAAATATTTTTTTTAATCTATATGTTAGGTTATTAAATTATGTAATTATTTTTGTTAATGTTCTAAATTTTACTTGTGCTAGGATATTTTGTAGTTCACAATAGTCTATTTAGTTAGGATATTTTATAGTGCAATCTACTATTACTACTTTTTTACATTTGAACCTATAACTGTTATCAACAATTTTGTAAAGTGTGCTTTTGTTATATTTCTATTCTTTCCTGCATATAAAGGAATAGCTATCCTAGTTAATTTTAACTTACTATCATGTTCAATAGAATGTAATTTTTTAAGGCCCATGGAAGAGAACCAGCAATCAAATTCGGAAAATAATTCTCAAAATTCTGGTGACAAGTCACAGCGGCCTACACCAGCGCATTGGCGTTTTGGACCCGCGCAGATGTGGTACGATATGTTAAATGTACCCGAAACCGGAGATGGTTTTGACTATGGATTTAAATCCAAGGTAATTTTTTTTAATCTTATTAATTTTATAAATGTGATTTTTTGCATGGATGGATGTTTATTAGAAGGTATCTCCAGAACTGTTGCATGGATTTCGCTGAAATTTGGCATAGATGTAGAACATAGTCTTGAAGAACACATAGATTACTAATTAAGTTTTTTTTTCATCTGGCCCAGACTTAATAAGTGTTATGTCTGTCTTCGTATTTTTTTAATTTGTGTACAAACATAAAACTGACATTTGTTTTAGGCGCCATCTACCGACGTAGAAGAAAAACCGAAAGAGGATGATACATTACTTGAAAGCAACGAAACAGATGATAGTCCAGACAGTGGGTTCCCTGATGATGCCTTCCTTATGGTGTCTCAGCTGCAATGGGAGGATGACGTCATATGGGACGGCAGTGAAATTAAACATAAGGTTTGTGTGTTTTTAACATTTTTATCAAGCCTTAAAAACCATGCTATCATTGTACATACTGAAAAATATTATGTTGCAATCAGCAACTTGAACTCCGAACACAGTCGCTCGAATTATATAACGTGTTTTTGTACAATTGCAGAATTCTCAAGATGTTTTCTTTTCTGGGCTTATTTTCCCTTGTATGGAATCGAAATTTTTGAACGTACATGAAAAATACTCATGTAAAAAAAGCACATAATAAGTGTTGAAGTTAATGGAGTATATTTTGCAGGTATTAGCGCGTCTGAACAGTAAGAGTAATGCTGCAGGCTGGGTGCCTACCTCAGTGAGCAGGACGGCGCAGCAGTTCTCACACCCGCGCCCGCAGCCCACCACACCCCTGCAGACTAAACCTGCCACGTATGAATTTGTTATTGACTTAAATTATAGTATGACAAAGAAAATAAAAATGTATCTTAGGTGCAATACTGTCCTCTTTGATATTTCAATACTCTATCAACATGCGCTGTTATTTTTAATATTAAATCAAGTCCTTCAGAGATATTCTAAAAGTAAATATTGCAAAAAACAAACGTTTCTTTATCGTATGAACCCTGCTTCATATTTACAAGAAGTTTATTCCATACGTTTTCCGCTAGATGGCAGTAATTTCTATTTTCCTTTTAAGACATTTATTTTTATTTTTCTACAACAGTGCGGCTACATCAGCACCTAATGGTCAAGCTGGCGCTGCCGCTGGAGACGGGGAAGACAACACCTGGTACAGCATATTTCCTGTCGAGAACGAGGAGTTGGTCTACGGCACCTGGGAGGATGAAGTTATATGGGATGCTGAGAACATGCCCGCTATACCTAAACCCAAGATCTTGACGCTGGACCCTAATGATGAAAACATCATCCTTGGTATTCCGGATGATGTTGACCCCTCTAAGATTACAAGAGGTAAGTCTAATTAATATTACCTAGTTCTTCATATATTTTGTCTCTATTAGCCCTTTATTCTACGAGAATGTAACCTATTGCAATTTTGTGATACTTAAGTTTATGAAGTTTTTTTTTTCTTTTAGTATAACTATGTCAACCAACAGATGGTGTTTTTCAAGTTTACGGAAATCTTATACCTGTCAAATTTATTTGTAGGTCCTGTCTCGGTTCTCTTGGATTATTATGCGATTTAATATTTAATTATTTTTAATAGAAAGAGGACCCGCACCGAAGGTTAAAATTCCACATCCTCACGTAAAGAAGTCAAAGATCCTATTAGGCAAGGCTGGTGTTATCAATGTGCTGCAGGAAGACGCGCCGCCTCCACCACCCAAGTCTCCTGACAGAGATCCATTTAATATATCTAATGACGTGTGAGTTATCATTTTTTTGTTTATTTTTACTGAGACATCTAGTGGTTCAAAAACGCACTAATTTCTCAAGTTGTCTTGGGTTACCTAAGACTGGAAACTTTTACTGTTAAAAAAAAACTGTAGCATCTCTATCTTAACATTCACTTCCATCCATCCATTATTTCCAAACTAGCTATAATAACCATTGCTATCCTCAGTTACTACCAACCGAAGTCTCAGAACCCTCGCCTGAAAGTTGGTGGCGGTCAGTTGATCCAGCACAGCACTCCAGTGGTGGAACTTCGCGCGCCATTCATCCAGACGCACATGGGTCCGGCACGTCTGCGCGCCTTCCACCGCCCCGCTATGCGCAAGCTGTCCTACGGCCCGCTCGCCGCCGGCGGACCTCATCCAGTGCAACCGCTGCTTAAACATATTAAAAAGAAGGCTAAGGTAATAATCATTAATGTCAGCTTGATCAAGATTAGAAAAAACACTAAATATACCACAGATATACATAAACAGTTAAATACAAACGCAACGACTTCCTTCAAAGTTCACTGAAAAAAATTTAAAATGTTTTTTTTATAAAGTATTTAAGAAAGAAATGAAAAAAATAATACATTCTTTTGCCCACCCTTGACGCTAGCGCCACCTACTAAGCGCTTTTAGTTTTTTTACCATTATACCATACTACAGCAACGTGAAGCTGAGAGACTCGCATCTGGTGGTGGGGACGTGTTCTTCATGCGTACTCCGGAAGATCTAAGCGGCAAGGATGGCGATCTGGTGCTGGTGGAGTTCTGCGAGGAGCATCCGCCCCTCATCTCCCAAGTCGGCATGTGTTCCAAGATAAAGAATTACTACAAGAGAACTGCTATCAAGGTAAAATCATAATATATGATATTGACAATGACTATTTCTTTTTTTTTCGTAATTTATAATTATTTACTCAAAACAAATTCTTTTTATACATTTATTAAAATAATTATAATTTCAGGACACTGGACCGAAATCATTTAAATACGGTGAGGTTGCGTACGCGCATACGTCTCCGTTCCTGGGCATCCTCGCGCCGGGGGCGACGCAACCCGTAGTAGAGAACAATATGTACCGCGCGCCGATATACGAACATACACTGCCGCAGACTGACTTCCTTGTTATAAGGACCAGGTAACATTTCTCTCTCTTTCTCTCTTCAAGTCACTCTCCGTCTCTTTCTCTTGCTTAGTTGTCTCTCCGACTCTTACACATTAGATTAAAAATGCATGGAGGCTACAATACAGTTTAAAGACTGTTTTGACGAAATAATTAAGAAAATTGAATAAAAATACAAATATTAATTAACAGTTTATTATTCTATAGTGTATTTTCTAGTTTTTTTTAAAACATTTTTGTTTTGCTATTTCTAGGCAAGGTTACTATATTCGTGAGATTGACGCTTTGTTCGTTGCGGGTCAAGAGTGTCCCTTGTATGAAGTGCCTGGACCGAATTCCAAGAGAGCTAATAACTTCGTTCGTGATTTTCTACAGGTAATGTTGTATATTTTATCTTTTTAGTATTCAGCATAAAAATATTAGGAATAATAATCGGTTTCTTTTTCTGAGATTCTGGAATTTTTTTTATTGATATTGTGTTTTTTTAGGTTTACATATACAGGCTGTTCTGGAAATCCCGTGACAATCCGCGTCGAATAAAGATGGATGATATAAAACGTGCCTTTCCCTCACATTCAGAGAGTTCTATACGTAAACGTCTCAAGTTGTGTGCAGACTTTAAGAGAACTGGATTGGATTCTAATTGGTACGTTATTTAATTTAGAATAGACATTTTTATCGCAAATTATACAAATATAGTCGAACCTGGTTAAGAGAGAAATCTAAATGAGGGAGAAAAATTTCGCGGACCCTTGGACTCCCGCTAATCCATGTCCGACTATATATTGATAAATTAAACTATCGCTTAGTATACTTTCCTCTGAGTTTCAAAATAATTGAGGCTTTTTTATTGAGAAACTTCAAGACTTAAATACATTTGAAACGACTTAGCATATTTGTAGCAATTGTTTACTATACACAATTTAATTGTTTTTTTTTCAGGTGGGTAATAAAACCAGATTTCCGACTACCGTCCGAAGAAGAGATCCGTGCGATGGTGTCGCCTGAGCAATGCTGTGCTTACTTCAGCATGGCCGCTGCGGAACAGAGGCTGAAGGACGCAGGATATGGAGAGAAATTCATCTTCACACCTATGGAAGATGATGATGAGGAGATGCAGTTGAAGATGGACGACGAGGTATTTATTAAAGACAAAGAATAAATGACTGAATGAATGACCTACTGGATCGATACAATGTCACGACTACACACATGACAGGAGTAAATTGAAAATCATTTTGCATTTCCTCTAATGAGTACGTGTGCCAGAGGTCATAGTCTAGGCTGCATGACAGAATATTCTACGATTTGAATTTTAATAATCTCTTTCAAAGATAACTTTATTACAACTAGAACTATACTTATATAAAACATGCTTTTTCCAGGTGAAAGTGGCACCATGGAACACGACCCGTGCATACATACAAGCGATGCGAGGGAAATGTCTGCTCCAGCTGACAGGTCCAGCTGACCCGACCGGCTGCGGCGAAGGATTCTCCTACGTGCGCATGCCCAACAAACCCACGCAGCAGCCTAATGAAGAACAGCAACCCAAGAGAACTGTCACTGGTACTGATGCTGATCTTAGAAGACTCAGCTTGAATAATGCTAAGGCGTTATTAAGGAAGTTTGGGGTACCTGAGGAAGAGGTATGTGCTTTATTGGTATTAAAAAGATAGGAATGTAGTAGAAAGTTAAATTTACCAATAAAACACAAATTATATTTTTTCTAGATCAAAAAATTATCGAGATGGGAAGTTATCGATGTCGTTAGAACTTTGTCAACGGAAAAAGCAAAAGCCGGCGAAGAAGGTATGACCAAATTCTCGAGAGGAAATCGATTTTCAATCGCTGAACACCAAGAAAGGTAAATTATGAACATAATAATTAATTTTAATAATTATCGTTATAATTCTTTATCTTTGTAACATAGTTAATCATCATCGTTTTAAGAAAACTTGATTTTAATATAGTCATCTCTTTCATTCTCTATAAAAATATTGAGAGAACAATATGTTATTGTAGGTATAAAGAAGAATGTCAGCGTATATTCGAGCTGCAGAACCGAGTTCTTACGAGCACTGAGGTACTTAGTACGGATGAAGCTGAGAGCTCCGTCAGCGAGGAGTCAGATCTTGAGGAGATGGGCAAGAACCTGGAGAATATGCTCGCCAATAAAAAGACAACGGAACAGGTAAATATATAGACTGACAAGGTTATCTGAACCAATGGGCATAAATCAAACTAAATTCTGACAGCTCACTAGCGCCTTTATGTCAACGTCAAACAGTCACACCTCTATTGGAGCTGTCTTGTATTTTTTCTTTTTTTATTACATTTTCTTTGTCTAAGTAGGTTTTAATATTCTGATTGACTGCGGTAGCTGTGCCTCTCCCCGCTTTAGATATTCTTTTTTAACCATATGTTAGTAACAACGCACATCATTCATTTTATGCCCATATCTTTACATATATGTGTCTTTGCTGAATGTTAAATAAACACAATGTAGATAAGTATTACCATCTTTTTCGAATCGCGTAATTTTGTTCATATAGTTTTGCTTTATTATACTTTGTATGTCGTTAATCGCTTTGTCTTTTATTATAGCTATCATTAGAAAGAGAAGAAGCAGAACGGGCAGAATTAAGAAAAATGATTCTAGGACAATCTGAAAAGAAACCACAAATCAATCAAAATGATCAACAACAGAGTTCAAATCAAGGTAATGTACAAAATTAAATGTTAAAAACCAACCAAAGTAAACGATTACATATTTTTTATTCAAAGGAGACCAAATACACTGGCCGTTACATTAAAAAAGAGAGATTTTGTTACAGCGCCATCTATTGGACTTTTACATAATCATTTACTTCTGATTTGTTTTTTTATCTAGGACGTGTACTAAGAATAGTACGTACATTCCGTAACCCTTCGGGTCAGAGGTATACTCGTGTAGAATTAGTTCGTAAAGCGGCTGTTATAGAGGCATATACTAAAATACGGTCTACTAAAGACGAAGCCTTCATACGACAATTCGCCACAATGGATGAAACACAGAAAGAAGAAATGAAAAGGGAAAAACGAAGAATTCAGGTTTTTTTTTTTTAATCTGTACATTTCTTTTGTAGTATGTGTTTCAAATAAGAATTAATAGTGAAATTAATCTATTCTAGGAACAATTGAGACGTATTAAAAGGAATCAAGAAAGAGAAAGGTTGGCCGGTAACGTGACAGTGCCGGCTCCGTTCCCTAGCAATTTTGATAGTAAGTATATTGCACAGATATGAACAATTACTTAAAATTTACTTAAAACGCATAAGGTCACAAATAAAATATTTGTTTATTGAATGTGTTCGAATATCATGACTCTTGTATTGACACTATTTGTGATCTCTGTTTTTTTTCAAAGAGAATGTAAAAGATTACAAAATGTCACGGCAATGCAAAAGTGGGACGGTTTCCTTAGGACTGCTTGTACATATTAGGCATGATTCATATATTAATAATTCTCATTTTTTACCAGACTCTAAAATGTCAACCTCATCATCAATGGACATGAGTTCGTCATCGCCAGGGCTGACGCTGCTGGGTCAGATCAAGCAGGAGGTGGACCTGCAGACTCCCTCGCGTCACCGCCGCGCCAAGCTCAAACCAGACTTGAAACTCAAGGTTCTTATACACAGAAAGATAAATTTACTCTTAGGCTGAATCCAGAGGGACATGCAAAATTACCGATATAAAAATGTTATATGTTATTTAAAAGAAAAAAAAAACCTTGAAATATCACGACTCGCCTGATTACAACTAAATTTTATGTATTTTTTTTTAATTTTAGATTCACAATTTTACCTATAAGGTTGATAGTAAATACTGATATCGAGATTTCAAAGAATGATTTATAGAAAAATGACACATCGTTAGTTGCTAATATTTGCTAGCTTTATTTGCATGGGTGTAGACAAATAGTCTGGACGAAAAATTTCTATGTAGTCAGTTTATAAAATATCTAAATTCCTGACTGATCAGTAACATGGTTGTTGTGCAGTGCGGAGCATGCGGTCAGGTGGGTCACATGCGCACGAACAAGGCGTGCCCGCTGTACTCAGGGTCGCTGAGCGCGCCGCTGTCGCCGGAGCACGACGAGCCACCACCAGACCCTGATGATGACGACCTCGGATATGTAGACGGCACCAAGCTTACACTGCCCTCTAAACTTATCAAGGTAAGCTAGTTTTAAATAAATTAAGTTATGCTTATGACGTAGTTTTTTATAAGGAAGATGTTTGTAAATAGCAAGAGTAAAGAGATTGCGTTTTTTTAATTATCGTCACTGTAAGCTAAACCATAGTTACAATATTGTTAATACTAGGACTTTATTAGTATTTTGGTGGTCACAATATAGTGTCTTACAACAGCAAAAATTACTTTTTCCTAACTTAATCGATATTTTTTTAATTGAATTTAACGCCATCTATACTAACATAAAAACAACACCGATTTTTTTTAATTTGTATATTTCATGCAGCAATCAGCAGAGGATCTCAAACGTCGTGGTATGAGTCGCAGTGAGATCAGAGCGGGGGGTAGAAACAAACGGCGCGGCACTATCACTGAGTCTTGTGATTACCTTGTACGTAGACCAGCGGAGAGACGTCGTACTGACCCACTGGTTACCCTGTCTTCATTGCTGGAAGCTGTGCTCAATCATATGCGGCATCTCCCTGATGTACAACCCTTCTTGTTTCCTGTCAATCCTAAGGTGAGTTACATTTTAAGCATATTTCTATATTTTTCTCGTATATTTAGAATTTTACTGGTAACCTGACTTTGTTGAATGAACTGACGTTTTTACCCTTGCTTTTGGTCAAAATACGGAGAAAGTAAAACTAAATCGTGTTTTAATCTTATAAAACTCAATTTTATTTGCAATCAAAATATCTGTACTGACTTTGGTCTGTCTGAACGATTATTTTATAAAGTGTACTATCGTAGTATTTTTCTTTCAGTTGGTAGCGGATTACTACCGAATCGTGTCGCGGCCGATGGACTTGCAGACGATCAGAGACAATCTGCGACAGAAACACTACCAGAGCCGCGAGGAGTTCTTGGCTGACGTCAACCAGATTGTTGAAAATTCAACACTATATAATGGTATGTTTATATCATACTAGCGATCGCTCACCACTCCATCGGTTTTATATTAAAAAAACATAATATGTAGTATGCTAAATTTCATCAAGATCCGTTTGGCCGTTCTGGAGATACCTTCAAACAAACATCCATCCATCCATCTATCTGAACATTCACATTTATAATATTAGTAAGATTTTTACGTATATAGACTCTTATCATCTCTTTCGTTCCATTAATGACTTTTGTCAAATATTTAGATAATAGCAATTTTATCAATATTAATTCCTTTCTTGTGCATTACATTTTAATATACTTAAGGTCCTACGAGTAGTCTGACGGTGGCCGCTCAGCGCATGTTGCAGCGCTGCGTTGAGAAATTAGCAGAGAAAGAGGAACAGCTCATGAAACTAGAAAAACAAATCAATCCTTTGCTCGATGATAACGATCAGGCAAGTCATAATATATGAGTAATAGATCCTTAGTGATTATTTAGGTAATCATTAAAGTACTCTTAGAACGTCAATTAGTGGTTTGTACAAACAATAGAATATTATCTATTTTTCCAAGAATTGTATGTAACTTATGCAAACAGATCCGTCGATCTATCATATCTGAATAGATTAAGGAAGTACTTTAAGACAAGATAAGGTCAATTACAAATGCAAAACAGTTAAGTTTTATATTCATTTTGTTCCAGGTGGCGCTATCGTTTATATTAGAGAATCTATTGACAACGAAGCTGAAGGTGATGCCGGAGGCGTGGCCTTTCGTGAAACCTGTCAACAAGAAGCAGGTGAAGGATTACTACAACGTCATCAAGCGGCCCATAGACATGGAGACCATGGGCAAGAAGATACAAGGTGAAGAAATAACCTAATTAGGCTTAATGCTTTAAGGTCCTTTTCCACAAAAGCAAGATTCGACTACTAACTATTGTGGTTGTTTACAAACAACACGTCTCTTTCATTCTTTCGAAAAAAAAGAGATAACAATAAGTTTCATACAATTATTACGTTAGTGAAATTTCACGGTTTGTGTAATACCACATATTCTATGAATAATCTAGTCATTTCCCACTGGAATAATAAATCTATAGCGAGAATTTCCCTAGAGGAAAAAGGGTTTTCTTATTATTAAGAATACTTTATTATCTTTGATAATAAGACTTCGCTTCAAAGTAGGCTAACAATTTCTAGTATCAAAATGTAACGTTCCTTGTATAAATGTAAATTGTTATCGATAAATTGAAATTTTCCAGCTCATAAATATCACAGTCGCGAGGACTTCCTCAAGGACGTGCAGCTGCTGGTCGACAACTGCCGCGCGTACAACGGCATCAACTCTCAGTTCACGAGGCAAGCTGAGGCCATACTCAAAGTTACTAGAGAATCACTTGAACAGGTAATATTATACTCATTGTATTAATAAAAGGATTCATAATCTTCAAAATTGTCTTCAAAACTGTCGGAATCCTTTTTTACATATTCAAAGTGATCTAATATTTTTAAGTAAGTATGATCATTGAAAAAAACTGGAGATTTTTAGTAAATAAGCGTTACCACCAGAATTTGTTAAAAATAAAAATAATATAGAAAATATAGTTCCTTTTTTTAATTGAGTACTGACAAGATTTTTATAGCTATTTTTGTCATAAAACAAATATTTTATTTGATACCAGTTTGGCGATCACGTGAGCCAATTGGAAGCGAACATAAGCAAGGTGCAACAGAAGATGCTGGAAGAAGCTGAGCAGTCGGACGTGGAGTCCGAGGATACGCAGCTGCAGGGAGACGAGAAGCGAGGACGTGGTAGACCGAGGAAATACAAGCCTTCTACTTCCACAGCTGATGGTATGAACAAAATATAATTCGTTCTTCTATCCAAAGCTAAATATAAGTATACAAGCTGACGCCCCCGTCTGCGTCCGCGCGGAATTTAAAAAAAATAGTAGCCTATGCTGCCAGGCTATGTTCTACATGTATGCCATATTTCAGCGAGGTCCATGATACCATACTGGAGATATTGCCAAACAAACATCCATCCATCCATCTATGGACATTCGCATTTATAATATTAGTAAGATTTTAACAAAATTCTTATGACATTTGGAAAATATGTGAACTAACAATGTCATTGTGACAGCTTCGTATTTTGACCAAAGAGTAAGCGGCAGCGGTTCAATGTTGCCATTTTCATAATTTTGTAATTCCATAAAAATATGACCTATGATGTTATGATATAAAGTTTAATTTGCTAATTTGTGTGGATCTATCAATTTAAATAGGAAGGAATAACTAGGACAAATAAGATCCTAATTTAAAATTAATTTCTTGGAATCAAGATTTGTATCCGGCATTTAAGTTGGCACGCATGAAACAAGAGTGCTCTTTAACGCGACGTGCCAACTTGATAGTTTTAAATTTGTTACATGTTTTTGTCGCACTGATTTTAATATTTATTCATGTTAGGTGCAACACCGAGAAAGCGAGGCAGACCTAGGAAGGATATTAATAGTTTGGAAGAAGGTATGTATAAACTTATTTAATATCATGTAAAAATAAGAAAAAAATTATTAAGGAAAAATTATTCTTTTGCATAATCTAATAATGCTTTTATTTATATATTTTTTTAATTTGTTTTAGATCTACAATATTCTGACAGCGGCAGTTCTGAATTGGAGGAGGTTGAATCAAAGGATGGTGCTTATGTTGAACTATCTGTTAATGCAGGTAAATAATACGTGTACAATAACATGAGACCTTTAGTGAATTATGAAAGTCAAGCAATGGTCGAAATATTTTTCTCTGAAAATCGCGCTTGTCAGAGTACCCTTATTGTAGAACTTCATTGCCTAACACTACTTATTGTATTAATACATATTGCCATCTCTTTTCATTGTCTTTGACAAAACAGAGACAAGATCTACGATTATAACCTGACCAGAAATATAAAAACCTTTGTTATATTGCTTTATTTGGAAGTAATCCTTTGCGTACATTTAAAATTAATGTAATGAATCCGATTGTAGTGCCCCAAAGCTAAGATCTTTATATTCTTGATAGATGATAATATCGGAGGCGAGGGCTTCGACACGTCGGAATTCTTGAAGATAAAGCGCGAGGTGCCTGACGAGCCGCCGCATACTGATGACTACGTTGACCTTGACCGCAGCAATGACTATACATTCCCAACTGTTGTTAAGGTAAGAAATATATAATAAGTAAAAAAAAACAGCTAAGGTTCACTGCCGATACATGTAGAATCAAGGACATTTATTTCTTTGTCATTTCCACAGTTTGACACGTTTTAACAGACATGTTATAATTTTGTCGTAACAGGAGGAGCCAATAGAACCTGATATGAACATGGAGCCGCACATGATGGAGCAGCAAGGACCGCCTCTCGACCCACCGCACTTCAAAGAGGAGCCTCCTGAAAACTGGCAGGTGAGTCCAAGCTACGACTAAACGGATGGGCCTGTCGATATATAATATATGGAAACTGTTGCCATGAATTTGATCGGCCCAATGAAAAAAATTGGATTTTTTTAAATTCTCACAAACCAGGGCACTTATTTGGAGTAAGGTGTCACGATTCTTTTACACTAGAGTCTCACAGAGTTTAATCAGATTTTTTTTTTAATTTTGTAATAAAAAAAACACCTTTACGTTATTTCTTTTTCAAAAAATCTTATTTGGTGTCATCATGTCTTATATAATTTTTTCAACAGCCTGATCCAGCTATACAAGACGATCTTCAAGTCACCGACAGCGAAGAAGAAGCAGAGGACGGGTTGTGGTTTTAAAATAGTCCGTCTTACTCTAACTTTGGGAGAAAGACGGAGATAGCAATGATGTAAATATTTTTTAATATTAAGCTTAAGTGGGGATGAGATAGACTCTATGTGAAGACGTCAAACTAACGATAGTTATAATTTTTTTATTGATTTTTGTTAGTTTAGTTAAAGCAATATTAAATTGGTTTATCGTGTTAAGACATACAAATAATAAGCTCTGTTTGATTGACTAAATTGTTACGAATTTGTAAGCGTAATGTTAGATGTTTTACAATAAAGAATTATTAAACATTCATTCATTTTATTTCTTCGATTAAAACCCAAAACTCGGTTGTGGTCAGCCTTATTTGATATAAGATCGAGACCAACTTGCATGGTTTCTTGATTTCAGTGAGAGTTAAAAACAATTATTTAACCTCTACTTAACATTCTCTGTAGAACGTCTGAAGATATTAAAAACATCTCGTAAAATACCTTAAAAATATGATTCATAAAATTTGTAATAACACAAAGCAAACGTAATAAACATAATATTTCTCTTTCTCGTTTCGTTCGCAATCATAAAAATAATGTATACAGCAATTCTGGCGATGGAATTCTTCTTAGCGGCGCGTTATCGCTCGACTTTATTAAATCATGTATGCGGGAGACGGGGCTGATTTTATTATCGCTGCGAAGCGGCAACCACCCGTTGGCCTGCTTAAGTAATATGTTTAACTCCAGCGTACATCTGAAATGAAAGATATCAGATTACAAAACACATTTTATACTTACAAATCTCAATGAAATTGGTCAATTTTCTACAATCTTTGATACATACTAAATAATAAGTACTTTTTCCTCCATTAATATGTTTGTTAGATCGATAAGAGAGCGTTTCTAGTTTACGATAGTAAAACGCTTGTTTACCTTAGTAACAATTCAACGTAGTAACGTTCAATACACTTTCAATCTGATTCTTCCTAGTCTAAGAAAATTGATAAAAATGAATCCAGATTCAAAGAAACTTGCTGCAAGTTTCTACGGACGTGTGAATGCGCCAATAGTTGAAAGATGTCGAGTGAACTTTTGCACAGATTTAGAAAAGTCAGTGTTAATGAGCAATTTCGAGCGCCGCGGCTGGCATCAAGTGAGCCCTGACGACGAATGGAACTTCTACTGGGCTTCAACGCAAACCTGCAGGAATCTTTTCAGCGTAGAAAGTGGCTACCGTATGAACGATAATCAAATGATTAACCATTTCCCTAATCATTACGAACTTTCCAGAAAGGATTTACTTGTTAAAAATATCAAAAGGTATCGTAAAGAATTGGAGAGAGAAGGTAACCCGTTAGCAGAGAAAGCAGAGGTCGTTTTACAAGGCGGTCAGGTGGTCACGCGGTATGTTCATTTGGATTTCGTTCCGGTGACGTTCGTTTTGCCCGCAGATTACAACATGTTCGTGGAGGAATATCGCAAATCCCCGCAGAGCACATGGATTATGAAGCCATGTGGTAAGTCGCAAGGCACCGGAATTTTCCTCATAAACAAATTATCGAAACTTAAGAAATGGTCTCGTGAAGCTAAGGCTCCGTTTCATCCACAACTCACTAAAGAGAGTTACGTAATTTCCCGATACATTGACAACCCTTTGCTGATCGGAGGAAAAAAGTTTGATTTGAGATTGTACGTGCTTGTAACTTCTTTCAGGCCGCTGAAAGCATATCTATTCCAGTTGGGATTTTGTCGTTTTTGTACAGTAAAATACGATACTAGTGTCACGGAATTAGATAATATGTACGTGCATCTTACAAACGTGAGTGTACAGAAACATGGCGGCGACTATAACAGTATACATGGCGGAAAAATGAGCGTTCAGAACTTAAAATTATATCTAGAAGGGACGAGAGGGAAGGCGGTAACTGATAAATTGTTTGCAGCGATGCAGTGGTTGATTGTGCATTCCCTGAAAGCGGTGTCTTCGGTTATGGCCAACGATAGACATTGCTTTGAATGTTACGGGTACGACATCATAATTGACAATCAATTAAAGCCATGGCTCGTAGAAGTGAATGCCTCTCCGTCGCTTACATCAACCACTGTTAATGACAGAATATTGAAATATAAACTGATTGATAACATTTTATCTGTGGTTCTTCCTCCTGAAGGCGTACCCGATGTCCGCTGGAACAAGCAACCAAATGTAGAAGCACTAGGAAACTTTGATTTGCTTATAGATGAAGAGCTAATGGAGAAAGATGAACAAACAAGTGCTAGTAATCGTGGACATAAAAGCCATAAAAATCGTACAACTTAAGCTTTAGATGGAAAAACCGATAAAAATTATTTAGATTATTATACTATAATTTTAATAAATACAGTAAGATAAAAATAATAAAACTTTTAATTTAAAATTCTTGGTAAATATTTTTGTGTACCGAAAGATAATTCCTAGTGGCTGTTGCTAGCCACTTCAAAAACAATCAGACAGCTCCAAGCTTCGGCTCCGTGTCAACAAAAATTTAATTAAAATTAGCGGCAACTGACAGAATTCCGGCTAAACTAAAATTTAATTTTCTCATTCAACATTCTTATATTCTCTACCTTCATTTAAATAATCTTTTAAAACATGAATTAACTCGGGTTTAAAATGGGCTTAAAATGTCGAAAGAAAACATCTATTAGTCATTTACAAGCAAAGAGTTAGTGCTAACTGCTATATTTAGCACCTGAGAAGCTATACCTGCATTCCATTTACATATTTCCTTTGTCCTGTAATAAAAAAAAAATATTAATTTGAATTATAAATGCGAAAGTTTGGGTAAATGGATGGATTTTGGTTATTACTTATCTGGAAAACAGCTTAACGGATCTTAATGACCTGTGGCACAGACGTAGAACGTAGTCTGGTAGAACTTATATGTTGCTTACTGAGTTTTTTTCTAGTTCCACATAAACTAAGCTGTGGGCAAAAGACAGTATTTTATAAACCGACAGATCTAACTTTTACTTTATGAAATAAAACCAACTTTTTGCTTATTTTCGATGACGTAACTTTAAAAGTAAAATCTGTCAGTTTCTGTCCTCAAAATGACGTCTGTTTAGGATAAAATTAATATATTTTGTTGTAAATTATTACTGTTTTATTTCACAATGGACAAACGAGTGACGTATTGTACGGACTTGGAGAAGTCGGTCATAATGAGCAACTTCGAGCGGCGCGGCTGGATACAAGTGGGGCCGGAGGACGAGTGGAACTTTTATTGGTCTTTCACGCAAAATTGTCGGAACATCTTCAGCATAGATAACGGATACAGGATGAACGACAATCAAATAATTAATCATTTTCCAAATCACTACGAAATATCACGTAAAGATTTATTAGTGAAAAATATAAAAAGATACCGCAAGGAACTAGAAAAAGAAGGGAATCCTTTGGCGGAGAAAATGGAAGTCGTTTTACCGAGTGGTCAAGTCGCGACTCGCTATGTTCATTTAGATATAATTCCTGTAACTTATGTATTACCCGCAGATTATAACATGTTCGTGGAAGAGTATAGAAAGTCGCCCCAGAGCACGTGGATCATGAAACCCTGCGGCAAGTCTCAGGGCACTGGCATATTTCTAATAAACAAACTTTCAAAACTGAAGAAATGGTCTCGAGAGGCGAAAATTCCTTTTCATCCTCAACTTAGTAGCAAAGAAAGTTATGTAATATCGCGATACATCGACAACCCGCTTTTGATAGGCGGCAAGAAGTTCGACTTGAGGCTGTACTTGTTGGTGACTTCGTTCCGACCGCTTAAAGCGTATTTGTTCAAGCACGGATTCTGTAGATTTTGCACAGTCAAATACGATACGAGCGTGACCGAGTTGGATAATATGTATGTGCATTTGACAAATGTGAGTGTACAGAGACACGGCGTTGAATATAACAGCTTGCACGGCGGGAAAATGAGCGTGCAAAATTTTCGTTTATATTTGGAAGGTACGCGCGGCAGATCGGTAACTGAGAAACTGTTTGCGGATATGCACTGGCTGATAGTTCACTCGTTGAAAGCCGTAGCACCAGTTATGGCGAACGACCGTCATTGTTTTGAATGTTATGGATATGATATTATCATCGATAATACGCTTAAGCCTTGGCTCGTGGAAGTGAACGCGTCGCCCTCACTGCAGTCGACTACTCATAACGATCGCATATTGAAATATAAACTGATCGACAACATTATTTCGGTCGTGGTGCCTCCAGATGGTATTCCTGATGCAAGATGGAATAAAATACCATCCGTAGAAGCTTTAGGGGACTTTGAAGTGTTAATAGACGAAGAATTGATGGAGAAAGAAGAAAACGGTTGTCGACCCACCAAAAATTCTCGTTATAGATAATATTTTATATGTATTTTGGTAAAGACGTATTAAAATGGAGTTTGTGAATAGAACAGTTTAATATAATAGCTTGTACGATCTCTTTATATGTTTTTTTAGTTTTAATGAGAAAACGAATTATCAACACAATATTGATTAACGTTTTAAAATTTACATATGTTACTACGCAAAAAGATATAAGGCTCCTAAGAATTCCTATGAACTGACAATAAGAACTTTAAGAAGGTAGCGCGCGGGTTGGTCTTGCATAAAAGAATATACAAACTGCTAACTTCTAGGCGCTTATCTATTAACTATCTGACAATAACTGAGCGGTCGCAGAGGATAAAACTTTAAGAAGAAAAAAGCTATCAAGTGACAGTAACAAACAAGGAACTTTGCACAAACTAAAGAGGAATCTGATAAAAAACTTATGTTTAAAGTTGGTCGTATCGCCTTGGCGTTGTAATGGCGGTGGGAGTTTGTAAAGGACGGAAGTAATTTCGTTACCCGTTCGACGGTCCCTACTTTTGTGGTTAAGATTGTCGATATTGTCGACCTTTAGCTGTTATACGCTTTGTCGGGACCGAACTTATATTAGGATACGATATAAATAGTTTAAGGATACATTTTTACGAACGTTAAATGGAACCTATTTTCGGAAACGCATTGAAATCACTATCCATTTTCGTAATAGCGAGGAGTTGTTCTTTAAGAATGT